CCTGATCCAGCCCAGCTCTTTATTTTAACAGTAACAAAGCAATAATGGTAACAACATCAAACATTGCTCAGCATTCGATGTTAGATTTTGATATAGATGCATTCACTTGGTATGGGTTTCATTGTTATGTTAGGCGAGCCTTCCATTTTGACTTCAGTTTATAAGTCAGTGTTTATAAATGCTTACTTGATGCATGTATCTGTGCCTCTCGTAAAGTTGCTGGCCTACCTCCCATCAGCCCCAGCCAGCATGACTGATGGTCAGTAAGTTATGAGCTAGAAGTCCAAGAACATCAGCTATGCTGCAGCTTGCCTTGTTTGGCTGCAGAATAAAAGGTAGCAAGTGAAGAGCATGCCTTTCCAAAGCAATTGGCAAAGGCTTTCTTACTTGGGCGATACTGCAATGCAAACAAAGCATTGTTTCCCTGTTCTCAGGGATACCACACTCATTTCAAGGGAGGAGAGCTTGTTTTGGGGCACAGTGACCACCAGCAACAGATGTTTTGGTTTGTGACTTCCATCAGTCCGAGCCAGCAAAGCCAATATTGAACGCTCATGGAAGCTGTAGCCAGACCATCCCGAGTGCTACAGATTGTCCACTTCTGCAGCAATAACTTAAACTTTTAATATATGAATAGCATATTATAGATGCTGCCACAACTTGCCCAACTTAGGAGAGGGAATGCCAGTCTTGTGCACAGAAACCCGTACTGAATTCATCAGATGAACATACAGGACAGTTTTTGTGATGCATTCAATGTTGTATCTAAGGAATAAACTACATGGCTGAAAAACCAGTCTTGCAGAAGGGAAAAGGCGCAAGAGCTCTAAACAAGAGGTGGCACTTCAAGTTAAGAATTCCCCAAGACACGATCAACTGATAAAAGTTCAACTGGAGTGTGACACTGTACATGTTGAAAGAACATTTATCCCAAAATATACCATAAAGGATCTTGAAGCTAGGAATGTTAAATGAATGACTGGCTCCCATTCTCCTGGGAATGGTGTCTGAAAACAAGCCTGGATGACTTCCGGTCAGTTTCAGTCCTAAGCTGCAACAGGAAACCACACTTCTCAAACTCATTTATCTCCTGTCCCTCTTCTCTTTCAGTAGGCATTGGCCTCTTTAAACCAGCAACTGCTGCTTCAGCGGCAACACAGAATAAAATCCGGTTTATTACAAAGGGCTGCTTGTCCCTGGGTGGAAGAATGCCTTAAAATGGCAACTTTTTTGTCACATTTGGCATTCCAGCCTATGGTCATGTAGTTTCCCTCCCTCATATTCTCAGGATAGTTCCAATCATGGAATGAAAGTGACTATCTGAAAATGCCAGGGGAAATGTCTTTCTTTCTTTCTTTCTTCCTTCCTTCCTTCCTTCCTTCCTTCCTTCCTTCCTTCCTTCCTTTCTTTCTTTAAGCACCGTATTCCTCGGAGTATTGCAGAGTTACTAAACCTGCTTTCCCCTTCCTGGTGCTCACCAGACACGCTGGGTTACTCTTCCATCATCCCAGCATGTGCAAGGAATGGTAGTCCAACACCTTTGGAGGGGAACCAGTTTGGAGAACACTGCTGTAAACATGTTGAAGTTGCTCCTTTGAGTGAGGTTTCAGTTCCAAAAGCACACAGAAATTGGCTTCTTGGAAAGCCAAGCTAAGCATCTCCCTGTATTCTTGGTGAGGTTTATCTACCTCATAGAGACATAAAAAATAGCAATACTGCAGAATAGAACCCCCTGTAACTTCATTCTTTCTAATCTCAGGATGCAACACTACCCGTGTTTAGATGGCAAAGGGGCCTTCAACCCCCAGCCCACCCAAGCCAGTGCCCCTTAACAATGGAACTGGAGTCCCGCTAGTCAGCCTGGGCCATCCTTTCCCAACCTGGTGTCCTCTAGAAACTATGAACCACATTTTCCTTCACCTGGAACCTCTGGATATGCTGGCAGGAGGGCAATGGGAGTTGTAATCCAAAACTTAAAAGCTCTAGTCTCACTTTAGATTTTCAGATAGTGCTGACCCTGACCAAGGGTCTGTCAATTCAAAATGTACTGAATTGGGGAGTGTATTTATTAAACATGTACTACATTGTTGTCATACTGGTTTACACTGTGGGTTCATGCCTTGCCCTCCTAGAACAACATGTCATGCCACATATTTACATTTCTTTTTTAAATAGATTTATATATTGCTGTCCATATTTAAAAGTATCTCTAAGCTGCTTACAAAAATATAAATATTATCATTCATCATGGTATGCACAATTAAAATACATAACTACTAAAATCTTGATAAAACACATCAGGAACAATATTAAAACCAGTTAAAACCACTACAATGCACAATTACAGACAGACAAATGGCAGCACACTCACTCAGCAAAGGCCTTCCTTGGTCAAGAAATTAGTCTGTAATTTCTCACCTCAAACATGTTGCAATTGGAATAACCAATGAAAGATGGTGCACCACAAGTTGCAATGTGCTGCTTTTGCCTTAGACCATCTTTTTCTTCAGATGTTTTGGGTGACAGTTCCCAGAATCCCTGGCCACTGGTCATCTTGGTTGAAACTGATAGGATCTGTAGTCCCAAAACATCTGGATGGCAGCAGGTCACCTTCATCTTTTCTAGAAAGATGAACTCCACTTACATAGCAATCAGCCTGAGGCAGAAGCTCAGAGGGTTTAAAACGCAGTAGCACTGCTTTCAAGCCAGGGAGCTTCCAGGTAGCAAAATACTCCAGGCAGGTACATGCTGCCCTGCATATCTGGAGAGCTGCTGGCACCAGCCACAGCTTCTTGTATTTTGGAAAGCCCAAACTATTTGCTGTATTGACATAACATCCAGAAAGACCCGGGCACCTAATTGGGAGAGAGGCGTTTCTCTGTAGGCCTGGAGCTCAGTGCCTCCTGCACATCAGTTGTTCGCCCTTAAGCAGCACAAGCTGCCATGGTTCTCGGTAGACCCTTTACCTGCTCTCCAAGTAGCAGCAGGCAGATCTCAAGAACTTCATCCATGTATGAAGCCGGTTAAAGGAAAAACTCAGCGGGCCAGATAGGACTGGCTACCTGTCATTGTCCTCCAGGAACCGTAACTAGACCACACAATGGATGATTGCACCACTGGAAATGGGCAGCCTGGGCAGTTGCTTTAAGGATTTTAATCCTGTAGTGTAGTGGCACCAGGGCTCATGGGGATATGATGCCAGCTCCTTTTTACGAGCAGGATTGCTGGCATCACCTCCCACAGGCTTCTCTGTTTCTTCTGAGATTGGCTGCGATCCTGCCAGTTGCAGGAGGGGGGGCACAGACTTTCCAAGCAACAATGCATTCATCCTGTTAGAACGCCAGGTACTGCTGTTTGGCCTGGTCTTGAATGAGCAATTAAGACCCTGCTCCAGCAGGCCTGCTCCAAGATCAAGCTGAAAAGTGCTAGAAGCTGTGCCTGAATATCTGGGCTCTCCTTGGAGGCGTGATTTTGGCGCCTGTCCTGGCAAGTGCCTGCACTTCAGAATTTGCCATGACACCACTGCCAGATGCCCCGGTCATAACTTGGAATTATGGGACTCCTTGGAGCACATGTTTGCAGTATGTTCCTCTTGCTCTGATTACTTGCACAGAAGTCTAGTGACATTTTCCCTCCCCTAAACTTGTAATTTTGTTTTCCTCTTATTTGTTTGGCTAATTCTTTATTATACTGCATAGGCAGAAAACTTCCTCAAATCTGTAGCCAAGGGCTCTATCTCTCCCTCACAGTTTTTGCTCTAGCGTAGGTGCCAGAGGCCCAACCTGGATCTAAACCATAGTCCAGTGGCAGAGGCTGTTTTAAGATCTGGATTGGCTTCCCCATGCCTATTCTAAAGTAAAAATGAAAAAAGAAATCTAGCCGCTAGATACATGCCTAAAGTAATATTTATTTTGGCCCTACGTCTTTGTGTAATTTACTGGGCCGATGCTTTCCTCTTTACCTGGTAGTTGTTGCTGCTCAAACATTTTCAGTGTTAGCAAACCCTCTACCTGATATTAGAGAGAGAGAGATGAGAGTGCTGTTTACCCACTTTCCTCATCTCGTGAAGCTTTGTGCCAGGATTCATTAGCACCCTCAGCCTCCCACTATTCCTGGATAAAGCTTGCAAGGCTGTTTCCCTGGGTGTCTTTTGCACAGACAGCTATTTTGCCTCTTCTGGGCTTGTCAGATGTATTTTAGCAGAAGCAAGTAAAGCTAATAAACTGCAGCCAGGACTGCAGGTACCCCTGTTCCAAAGCCTGTGAAGGGAAGAGAATGGGGAAGGAAGGTTTGCAGGCAAGAAAGGTTAACCCTTGAGGGTCAAGCCACGGATAGGCCATCTCAAGGGCAGAAATGGACATCTGGAGAAGGACTGGAGTCATGCTTGCTGGCCATCTGCCCAATCTAGCTATGGTGCATTAAAGATCTTGGATGGAGTGGCAGCTTGGATGGGATGACTTCTGAGGTGCCCTCCAACTCTCTCATCCCACAAACAGACTCCCTGAAGCAGAGATTTCTCTTCCTCTGTGTTCTCCCTTGCTTATAAGAACCACCATGAATGATGTGTGTGTTCAGGTGTACACATGAGGCCCCTGTTCTTACAGCACCCTGAATATGTGGCCACACTGAGTATCCCCATTTTAGCAACAGGAGCTAGGTTAGCCCTGGATACCTTAAGTCCTGTGGATCCAAGCCCTGACAAGTTACATGGGGGTCAGCAAGCATGGCCATTCCTAGTTTCCCCAGGAGGCATCCACTCACACCTGGGATGACCTTCTCCACCTGGTTACAGCAGATTCTGCTCGGAGCCCAGCTAATCAAATTTCCCCATCTCTGCTCCAGATGTCTCCCCACACACACACACACACACACACACACACCTCCTATGTGGTCCATGAAGTCACTACGATCTACGCAATCCGGTAAGAAGAAAACATTGAAACGATTTCAAATGATCTGAGTCTTGCCATTGTCAATGTTTCTTCTAAAGCACACAATACCTTGTTTATGGTTGAACATGCCTTCACTGGTCACACCACAGCACAGCAGGGTGTCTCGGGACGGCTGACCCATGAGCAACATCTAATAGAGATGCACAATGAAATAAATTCAACTAAATAAATCAACAAGAGACAATGGCAGCTTGTATGGCAACAGTAAACACTGGCACACAAAGAACACTGCTGTTCTTAAGAGAATGCAGCTCCCCCTCCCCCGCTTCCCACTGACAGACACCTTTGAATAGTGTGTTTTGATGCATCAGCTGAACCCAGGGAAACGACTCTCTGGAACAAGGCTTCTTTTAGGGTTAGCAGTGAGGTCTGCACTAATGCCAGGCTCAGGTCTGCCATAAAGCCACCCCCTGGCCCAAGCAGGGCTGTTTCGTTTCCCACGTACTGCATGGCACTACCTGGCCAGCACCATCCTCCCCATTCAACTCAGAGCAATGATGCCACCGACTTTGGTGTGCACATTTTACCAAGAAAGGGGAGAAGGATGCCCTTGTTGCCCAGAAAACATGTACCTCCACTTCTTATTTAGGAGTGACACACAGGACCTTACACCAAGGGAAAGTAGGCCTATCGCCCCCAGTTGTAGCCAACTTGCACTTGGGCCGGGCCACTTCAGATTCAAGGCAGAGTTGCATATGGAATTCTACCATAAGAGGGCCACCCGCATGGGTGGTTTTAAACAGACAAATACTGCACATGGACAGGAAGATTATCAGTAACTGCTGCCATCATCACGAATGATTCTCAGTGGCTACTGATCATGATTAGTCATGAGTTCCCCGTAGCCATCTGGCTGGCCACTTCAGGAACACAGTGCTGGCTTATACATGCCTTTGTTCGGATCCAGCACAGCTATTCCTAAGCTATCCATGCTCTTCCAAATAAACAATGATGCTAGGGAAACTTGGAGGAGGAGGAGGAAGATAGAGAGGAAGACCAGCTATGAGATGGATTAATTCCATAAAGGAAGCCACTGCCTTGAGGTTACAAGAGCTGAGCAGGGCTGGCAAGGACAGGACAGTTTGGATGGCATTCCTTCACGGGGTCTCCATAAGTCAGAGATGACTCGATGTCACACAACAACAACTAATCATGACAGCTGTATATTACCTCTGACATCAGAAGTGTCATGCCTCTGAAAACTGGTCACTGGGGAATGTGAGTAGGAGGAAGTCATCGCATTCTCAACCCTTTGTGGGCCTCCCACAGCCATCCGATGGTTGCCTTTGCTCTGACTCAGCACAGCTATTCCTATGTTCTTCATGTTCTTCCACAGAAACACAAGCAAACCAAAACCTCTTCTATCCACACAGGAAATGAACATATCAGGGAGAAGACCAGTCTACAGCCACTCTTTCTTACACCTGGTTTTCTATGTTTGGGGCAGAATGCTTTGGAACTTGTGAGCCCCCATCTGCAAATGGTACAGCTCAGATCAGGATTCGCCACCTCAGTAAGAACAAGGCCACATCTTTAACAGGAACTACATTGAAGGAAAAACTATAATTACATACCTATCCGTTATAGATACACAAGTTATATCATCATCATCATCATCATCATCATCATCATCATCATCATACGTTCATATCCCACTTTTTTCCCTCTGTTGAGGAACCCAAGACAGCTTAAACCAGAGACTAAGGATAAAAAACTGAAAGTACAAACCCAACCTCCTTAATTAATTAACTACACATTCACTATGTGCCTGTGATCTAAACAATTGCACACATTATTTGCAGTAGTTTAGTTCATCAATGGATTCCAGAGTTTTGCAACAAGGTACATTCTTGATTAGATAAATAAATGTTTGACAATTACGCACATTGTTGGTTGTACATCTTCAAGTTGTGTTGTACTAAAAGGATGTGAAAAAGAGTGGGCAAATTTGAACGGCTTTTAATATGATCAATGTAATTATTAATTTGATGGACAATCTTAAACATGTTCACTCGGGGAGTCCTGCTGAATTCAGTGGGATTTACTGAGGGTAATCATATATACTGTATGCCTAATGATATAGGTACTATATAGGCCTGCATCCTGCATCTTTAATCCATCACAGATCCACCAATTAATAATTATTTTTTTTAAAGAGAGAGAAAGAGGTGCCACACCTAGGATAACTTCAGCTGTGCTGTGCCAGGCATAGCAGAATGTGATTGCCAGAGACAGAATAACCATTGCTATTTTTCCCCCTCAATCTGCATTTGGTGAGAAAACATTAATGTTACAGAAGTGTCAAGGACAGAGATAGTGATTTAACAGGGGAAAAAGAGCCTCCCCAAGGCTTCGGCGAATGGGGCGGCATAGAAATTTTCTAAATAAACAATAAACAATAAATAAATAAAAGGTGTGTGTGTGTGCGTGTGTGTGTGTGTGTGTGTGTGTGTGTGTGTGTGTGTGGGGAAGGGGGGATAATGAATATATGTTTCCAGTTGCCTAAGGGAAAAATCTAAACCAGAAGTCTGAATTTTTTTTCTGCATTAATGAAACATATTAGCATTAATTGTGGCTTTCTATAATTGAAATGAGGATGATGAAGTTGCTGCAGAAGTGTGAAATCAATTTGTCTCGCATTCAAGCTCTAAAAGTCTTCAAAATTCACTCAGACTGCAGCTTCCGTATTAATGATGTGCAGCTGATGAAAATTGGCACAGTTCCACCAAAATCATTGGTTTTGTGTCTGCAGAAGGCCTTGCTCCTAGGTCTTCAGGACAATTTCCAAAATTGCAGCCGTCCAACCAGTAAAACAGAGAAATGAACCCTGATCGGCTCAAGCACCACCGACCGGGCTCCAATGCCCAGCACCAAGGCAAAATACTCCATTCACAAAACCTCTGCTGTGCTCAGCTGCTTTTCATCTAGAACACCAAGTGTAATTAAACTCCACTTCTTAAAACATGAAATAAATAAATGCAGCCAGCAAGGAAACCAACTCCAACAAAGAATGTGTACATCAAGGGGCAGAAGAAGAATTTATAAACTCTTGCTGCCCCTCTGCACCTGCACACAGAATAATTCACCCCATCCTGAACAATACAAGTGCTGCCTGCAAAATGCAGGACCTCACATCTGGTCACACCTTGGAAAAGGCTGGCTCCCCACCTGCTGGAAACCCGGCAGATTCAGCAGACCCATTTCCCAAGCAGTGAGACTTGCAATGAGGCTGGCTGCTACAGAGCTATACAGAAAGAACATGTTTCAGTGATAGGGTTTGCATGACATGACAACCCATCATGAGGAACAAGTTGGTGGGTTGCCATGAGTGATATGGTGGGCTGCCATGGCATGTGAGCATGGATAGCTTCCATAAGTTCATGCAAGCCAACAATACACAGTTTGTTGTTCGGCTTCTTGAACTCACAATGGGTTTTTGTTGTTTCTGAACCTGGGCTTTTGCTGAACTTGCCTGAGCCTCCTCAGCTACTCCGCTGATGATCCAGTGGCATCACCGAGTCACTGGCTTGGTGCCCCCTTTCTTGCCCATGAGCCCTTTTTCACTTGCTGTGGCTTTTCCCATTTTTTTCCTCCCTGAGACAGTCAGTAGTATCCTTTGAAAGACAGGCAGAGACACCCCTCTAATGTGTCCAAGCGGTTGTCCCTGGTTTGACATCCTTTTATTTTTGACATTGTTTTATTTTTAATTTTTTAAGCACAAGAAATTTTATTTTTAAATAAAAGGAAATTTGTCTAATTTTCTGACTTTGGACCGAGGCTTAGCCTTGCTTAGAGTAGACCTATTACAAGAAAAGATTCCAGGTTGTTATGCCTGTGTCCTACTGATTTCAGCGGGTCTATTCTGAGCATGACTATGTCTGGATCCAACCCCACAGCAGCTTTGGTATTCAAGCCATAGGTCTGCTTTGTCCAAATTTCACAAATTAAATAGAAAATCCCAGTGAGATTTTAGAAAGTCCCTTTGCTTTTATATGCAGTTCTTCTAATACATCCATTCTTTAATGCAATCTTGGAGGGGAGAACGGCATCACAGAATTCAGAAAAGTGTGCAGTTTGCGGAAGAACTGTGTTCGAAGCCCCATATTTGTCTGAGAAAGGTTGTTTCACTTAAAAGATAGAGAGCGAGAAAGGGGGAGGGAAGGTGGGAAAGACAGGGAGGGAGGGATGTCTTGAGTAAAGGGTGAAATATCCTAAAAATATTAAATATCACATCAGCTTCCACATAAATGCGGCATCTTGCAAACCCAGGTGCCTTGCTAAATGCTCTTATGCTTTCCCAGATTGATACCTCTTCTGCTTTATTTTAAAAATATTAACAGCTTCAGCTCTGTCCTGGCTCATGCCTCTGTGTGAGTAAAGCTGTCGTGCTGAGAGATCTCGTAATATTCGGCTCCCAGGGATCCTTCAACTCATGCCAATAATATTTGATCAAAGCATACTCACGCATGGGGGAAGGGTACCTGCAGGCTTTGAGGAATTAGCTTAGACTGCCAGTGTCTTAAAAGAGGGCAAAGAAAGCAGACAAAACCTTTGCGCTTTGAGAAGCTTCCCTTGATCCGTGGGAGGGAAGCATGCTGCATCCTACTCATGCCAAGAGCGAGAGCACCTCTCCCTCATATTAACGGACAGGGCCAGACTCTCCTGCAGCAGAGGAATAATCTGATGCACAGGCAAGGCCTCAGATGCAAAATGAGAGAGAAACAGAGAGAGGCAGAGAGAGAGAGCTGTGATCGCTCCTTCCGAGTGGCAAATTGGGTTTCTGTTTCACTTACCTCTAGAACAGCAGCAGGTTCTAGACCCGCACTGTTGTGGGTGGCAGCCATTTCTGAGCATCGAGGGCAGGGATCCGCTGGTGAATCTCTAAGTAATGCACAGCAAACCGCCACAGGATTTTGACTCCCAATAGTTTTTAAAAAATGCAGGTAAAACTGCAAGTAAAAATAAAAAATGCTCTGCCGTGGTTGACCTTGTACTAATCATTTCATTCTTGTTATGTTACTGCCTTGCCTGTAAAATATGAGATGGATTGCCATTGACCAGGTCTTTTGACCAATTTTAGTTCAGTGTTGGAAAAACTGTGACCTTTAGTAATTCAGATACAGAGTTTTA